ATTACATTTGAGACAGTGGTCCTTGGGCCAGCGTTTTGATGGTGGACCCCTGCTGCTGCTGCTGCTGTTGCTAAGTCACTTCAGTCGTGTCCGACTCCGTGTGATCCCATAGACAGCAGCCCACCAGGCTCCCCCGTCCCTGGGATTCTCCAGGCAAGAACACTGGAGTGGGTTGCCATTTCCTTCTCCAATTTGTGAAAGTGAAAGTGAAGTTGCTCAGTTGTGGCCGACTCTTAGCGGCCCCATGGACTGCAGCCTACCAGGCTCCTCCATCCATAGGATTTTCCAGGCAAGAGTACTGGAGAGGGGTGCCATTGCCTTCTCTGGATGGACCCCTAGGAGGGCGTTATTTTAGCTCTCTGGCCTTGGAGCTGTTGTAACTGTAAGACCAACAACTTGGGGAATTTTTGCTTGTGGTCTTATTCTAAGGTCGTTTCAAAGTGCTCAGTGTGGTCACTGGCTCCATCAGCCTGGTGGTCTCCTATCCTCTTTTCTGTATTTTTATCAATCCACTAATCTCAGGAGGTAATCTCTGTGCAAACAGGGCCACTGGAGCAGGTTAAGTGACTCATATGGAACCGAAACACCATAGGAGGAGGGCTTCCAAGCATGCCTTAAAGTTGGCCAGATTCATCTTTGTTTCACATGTTTGAATAATAGACCAGTCAGTAGGTGTAGGGAAGATTCTAGGAAGAGTTTATAAAAGGTCTGTTGCTTTTTAAAAAAAATTTTACTTATTTATGGTTGTATTGGGTCTTCGTTGCTTTGTGCAGGCTTTCACTAGCTGCAGTGAGCAGGGGCTACTCTTTGCGGGCTTCTTGTGCGATGGCCTCCCTTGTTGCGGAGCACAGGTTCTAGGCCTGGGGCTTCAGTAGCTGCAGCACGCAGGCTCGGTAGTTGCAGCTCATAGGCTCTAGATTTCAGGCTCAGAGGTTGTGGTACACAGGCTTACTTGCTCCACAGCATGTGGAATCTTCCCAGACCAGAGATGGAACCTGTGTTCTTTGCATTGACGGGTGGGTTCTTACCCACTGTGCCATCAGGGAAGTATAGTTGCTGTTTTGCAAGCTTTGTTTGGTTGAGGATTTTTTTTTTTTTTTAATTTTTTTGCTATGCCCCACAGAAGGCAGGATCTTAGTTCCCCAACCAGGGATAGAACCCAAGACCCCTGCAGTGGAAGCTTGAAGACTTAAACCACTGGACCGCCAGGGAAGTCCTGAAACCCTCACTTTCAAGGGCAGTCTTGTCTCAGGGAAACCTTCCCCATGACAGCCATTGTAATTCTAGGTAGTTTTTAGTCATACTTTGCCATTTTTGTAGATATTTACAACTTCTGAGATTATAGTTCTTGGTCGTAAAAATAAGCAAGTGTGCCAATGGGTAGCCTCATTAAAGGGCATGGTGGGGTCAGAGATGCTCCCATCTCTCTTGGCTGGCCTTTTATCTACACAAGGAAGACAGACAGACATGAATACTGTAACACTCCAGCCATAACCAGTTACTGTGGCCTGTCCAAGAAAAAGGCCCTGTGCACACCATCACTGACTGCCTATATGCAACCTGGGGCTGGAGAAAGGAGTGGACCCTACATGGCGACTGTGGACTGATTCCAAACAAATTGGGAACTGCAGACCAAACCACCAGCACGTCCCAACAAGGAATCTGGGAACAGAACCAAGGGCCTGGTTTCTAGTCAAATGAGGAACTGTAGTCAGAACCGCCAGCAACTCCCAACATGGAACTAGTGATTTCAGACAAATGGGGAACTGACTGGAAAGCCAGTTAGGTCGGGAGCGTGACACAAAGAGCAGAGCTGAGAACTGAGAGGAACTTGCCCACGGCCTCCAGATAACAGCGAGAAAGACAGTGAACTCAGAAGGGGATTCACGGGTATGCCGCCTCGGGTTTCTTCTTGTCCCTGAATGTCAGAGGTTCACTTTGGATCCTGTTGTGCCACCAAATCACTTGAGGAAAATTCACCTGAGTAAATTTTAAAGGTCTAATTGGCTTTATTGAATTCATGAATCTGGCAACATCTCATCTGACAAGTAGAGGGGAGCATTAAAGAGCTATAGAAATGGAAAGGTTTTTAAAGGTAGGACAAGGAAGTCATAAGCAGAAAAAAAGATGATTACAATGTCAGAGACTACATTTATGGAGGAGGCTGACGCTCATTCAGGTTAGAAAGTAAGCCCCAGTTTAGTGGCATAGCCTAGCATAAATGACTCCATTTTGAACCTGTGGTTTTCTTTTTTTTCTTTCTTTTTTTTTATATTAGCTCCAACTGCCAGGCCCCATTTTAAACACTATTATTAAGCTAACCCCTCAAGCAAGAAACCAGTAAACATACCATGTAAGATTAGGATCTCTGCTGATAAAAGGCAGACTCAGAATTTGAACTCAGGATGGCTCCTGAATGCACACACTGATTCACAAAAATAGCCCTGAAATAATTTCTGTATGGTCACTACTGTATCCTCTTGTAGTCCTGTCATAGAACCTATGTTAGATCTTCACTTTTGAATCGTATTCTAGACCCGAAGGCCCCAGAGGAGAGCTCTGCGTTAACTTCTTGCTTACATTATCTTTGTTCAGAATTTAGGCACAGAATGACCATGACACCTCCATAGAACATTACAAGAATACATTCCCTTAAACTCAATTAACAGTCAACTTATGAGACAGGGGTTTCTGATATTTTCAGAAAAAAGGAAAACAGCCCTATGTTTTATGTGCCCCAGGCATGAAATAGCTCTGGCTACCAATCCAGGCATCAAGCTAGGATGAACAAAGGACTAGACATCTGCTTTGCCCCTGACTGATATAAGAGCAACACCACCAATCAGGTGCCTCTTTGCCCATTGCCAGGGAGTTGTGGTTTTATTTTTAACAATGGGGAGGGTCTCAGATTGTGGGTTGGAGGCCCAGGGAAGCATCTGCCCATCCTAGGGGCAGAAGTCGAGTGCCCCTGACCCTGAGCCTGCCGCAGGTACAAGCCCCCACCGAGTGAGTGTAACCCAGCCCTGGATGATCCGACACCAGACTACATGAACCTGCTCGGCATGATCTTCAGCATGTGCGGCCTCATGCTCAAGGTGGGCAGGGCTGTTTCTTTCCCCATATTTCTGCCTGACAGTGGGGACCCTTGGATTCAGAATGAAGCAGGGCCGGCACTGAAGGGTGCAGGGCTGGGGTGATGCTAAGTGGAGAAAGCCAGAGCTGTCGTGAATCCAGAGGTCCGGGTCAGGGTGGACACATTGGAGGTTGGTCTGAGGCTTTAAGGCAACTTGGTGGGGTCCTTAGGGTGATGGGGGATGTCAAGGGCCAGGCTTCTTAGGCCTGAGGGGACATGGTGGGGTCAGAGATGCAGTTTAGGGAGTAGGACCAGAACTTGGGTACCTGGAGTTAACTTTGGGAGCCTGAGACTGAGGGACTCCTGGGGATCAAGGTTGGAGCTACACCAGGTGAAACTGGGATTGGAATCGGTAGGGGAATGGCTCATTGGGGTGCCTTTCACTGACCTAACCCACCCGTCCACCCACCTCTCTCAGCTGAAGTGGTGTGCTTGGGTCGCTGTCTACTGCTCCTTCATCAGCTTTGCCAACTCCCGGAGCTCTGAGGACACGAAGCAGATGATGAGTAGCTTCATGTGAGGCTGGGTCTGGGATGGGAGGGACTCCTGGGGGAGGGGAGGGAGCACCCCCACCCCCTCCACCCCCACCTCTCCATCCTGGACTGATATCTCTCTCCCATCTCAGGCTGTCCATCTCTGCCGTGGTGATGTCATATCTGCAGAACCCTCAGCCCATGACGCCCCCCTGGTGATGTCAGCTTAGAGGGGTCATGTCCTGGGCCTCTCTAGCCACCTTGCCCTAGGCCTCACCTGTGGCTGCTCAGCCTCCTGCTGGCAGCTGCGGTGCTGGGCTTCCCTGGGCGAGGCAGTCTCTGGGCCTGCAGCTGGACGGAGGGAACCTGGCCCTGACCCTGGGATCCCATGACTGCTGGAGCAGAGAAAGGAATCCCCTGGGCCTACCCCCCTCCATCCCCACCTTCGTTTCCTACCCTTCTTGCTCCCAGGGGAGACACTGTCTGTGTTTCTAGGTGTACCCACTCATTTTCTTGTTGAAACCTGTTAATAAAGTTTTGCATTTGGGCTGTTCTCTGTGACCCCTCTCTCCTGTGCATGGTGGCTGTTTGTCCTAATAGAGGGAAGGGCTCCACCTTCCCACTCAGTCAGGCCTGGGGTGGGGCCCCAATCTGGATCCTTTTGGTTGGTTCATTTGCTTATTTCGCAAGACTCAAGCCTTAAGCCAGCTGCCAGAGACTAAACCGTGATCTCTGCCCTCTGACAACTCAGCAGATAGCTCTGCTGATCTAAGGAATCTGGGCTTTGGTTTTCTCAGATGTGTGAGGATAATGTCAGCACATCGGATGGACTGGTAGGGACTGGGGAAGGTAGGAAGTTCTCCCCTACCTGTCAGGTTCTCACTGCTCACCAGACACTGGTATCTCTTGAACAAGACTGGATGTCTCCCCTCCCCAGCAGTGTAAGGGTAATTCCTTTATTTAACGTCTCAATCCATAGGACAAAAGAGGTCCCCCATTAACCTCTGCTCCTAGCCAAGCTAGGTCCTTTGCAAACCATAGCCCTGAAAGTCGATGGAATACCCTAGAATCCTAGGCAATTCTCTACCTCCAAGGCAAACTCAGCATCCGCGGGAAAATCTGAGACTTAAGCGCCGGTGGTCGGGGGGGGGGGTACACTATAGGGCACTCCAGTCACATAGAGGCCACAAGACGCTGAAGGCTCCACTGGCCAAAGCAGCACCCTGAGGGTGTGACTTCGCCAGTGCCGCCTTTCGCTCCTAGCGCCCCCAGCGGTACCCAGAGCTACCGCATCGGTCTCGTGATGGACCTGGTCACGCCCCGGCACGCCCCCGCCTGTGCCCATTGGCCAAGTCGGGCTCTGGAGGCGGGGCATTTACCCAGCCTCAGCCTGGCCGGGGAACCCCGGGAGGCTGAGGCGGTGGCGGCGGCGGCTGCAGAGCTATGGTTGGTGACGCGCGGCCTTCAAGGGTTCGCGCTGGCGGCTGCCCGGGCGCGGTAGGATCCCAGACGAGCTCCCGCGCGCCGCGGCCACCGCTCCCGCCTCTCTCCTTCCTCTTTGTGTTGTTCCTAGCGGCGCCCTGCGCTTGGGCGGCGGGATACAAGGTGAGCGCGGCCCGCTAGCGGAAATGTACAAGAGCCGTAGTGAAGCCTCCAGTAGGGTCCGGAGGTGTGGGTGGGTCTGTTTTGTGGGTGCCCAGTGAATGGTTGCTAATATGACAGTGTGATCTGGTTCATGCTTTGCGTTACTGAGGAGACTGGCTGTGTTAGTCTGAGAATGGGGCTGTCTGTGTCTGTGTCTTGCTTCTGCGGGTTGGCTTACCTGGATTTTGCAAGCATTTACATGAGCAGGCTGTAAGTGTGATGGGGACTGGTTGAGGGTTGGGAGTCAGCTGCCTGAAGTTCTAACCTGGCTTCTCCACTTGCTGGCAGTGTGACCTTGGCCCAGTCACTTCACCTCTCTGATCCTCCGTGTTCTCATCTGAAAACTGGAGATAATGTTGCCCTCAGGTCCCAGGGTGGCTGCTTGGTATTAGCAAATACTTAATAAACGTTAGCTACTACTAGTATTTCCCCAGGGCATGAACGAGAGGTGCTCTGAGAAGTTCTATCAATTGAGAAGTACATCTATGACACAACTATGTGTGTCCTTCTTGGGGGAGCCCATCCCCACCTGTCACTTGCTTCTAGATCAAGACTTACCATATATCCTAACAACCCCCCACTGCAGCCTGCCTCTTAACCTTGGGGTTACTGACAGAGTGAGTGTGTGTTTGGGGTCCCTGTGCAGACATGCCCGAAGGTGAAGCCAGACATGCTGAATGTACACCTGGTGCCTCACACACATGATGATGTAGGCTGGCTCAAGACGGTGGACCAGTACTTTTATGGCAGTGAGTAGAGGAGGGTGGGGAGTGACCCCTGGGACTCCCATGGTCTCGCAGAGCCCCTTAAATTCCTTTACAGGCCTGAACAATCAGGGTGGGGGCAACACCCAGCTTGGGCTTCTGTGTCTAAGAATGTTTCCCTTGGCTTGCTGGTTCCTGATTGCCTGACCCCTGTGCCCACAGTCTACAATAACATCCAGCCGGCGGGCGTACAGTACATCCTAGACTCTGTCATCTCTTCCTTGCTGGCGGATCCTACCCGCCGCTTCATCTATGTGGAAATCGCCTTCTTCTCCCGGTGGTGGCACCAGCAGACAAATGAAACACAGAAAGTCGTGCGGGATCTGGTGCGCCAGGGTGAGCCTCCCCTCAGGAAGTGAAAAGAGGAAGCCCAGCCCAGTTTCTATCTCTAGCACCCTGGCTTCTGAGATTTTATCATGCCATGTGCAGCCTCTATGTGGCTGCACCTGCCTGGAATTTCCCTTTTTTGGAGAACTCCTAAACATCCGTAAGGCCCCACCTCCAGTGAATCCTCTAGAAAGCCTGCTGTGCAAGGGGGCCTTCTGTTCCATAGCTCTCTTACACTGGCCTGAGAGTGACCCCTGACCCCTCTTCTCCTCTCAGGCCTGGTCGTTTAGGCAGGTCTTCTCGTCCCTGGCATCAACAACCCTGGCCCCACTCCTGGCCCTGACAACTGACTCGAACTTTGCCCCTCCCGGCACAGGACGCCTAGAGTTTGCCAACGGTGGCTGGGTGATGAACGATGAGGCGGCCACCCATTATGGAGCCATCATCGACCAGATGACACTTGGGCTGCGCTTCCTGGAGGAGACGTTCGGCAGCGACGGGCGCCCCCGTGTGGCCTGGCACATCGACCCATTCGGCCACTCTCGGGAGCAAGCCTCACTGTTCGCGCAGGTTTTCATATCTCTTGGGCCCGCCTCTTCATTCTTTCTGACTCCTCCTCCGTCATCCAAGCCCCGCCCTTTTCTGCAAGTTCACGGGAGCCAGGCCCTACCCCTGGCCCTCTCGCCGCTTAAGACCCTGCCTCTTGGGTGACCTGTGAATCCCATTCTTTTTTGCTCTGGCCTTGGCTCTGCTCTGTCCTACCCTAGGTTGACCCTCATCACCTATCCCCATACACCCCAGCCTCCCTTGTTCAGCTGATTCTTCCCTCTCCCCTGATTTCACCCAGTTTGCTCTGATCCTGGCTCTTGGCCAAGTTGGGTGGCTGGGGAGGGCCTGAGGTTTTTCAGCAAGCTTCATTACCTGTGCCATGACCATGCCCCTTCCCTTGCTAGTCTGCGGAAAGGGGAAGGCCTCCTAGAGCTGGGGAACGTGGAGGTGGGTGGTAGCGTTGGACTTGCTCCTTCCCGGCGCTCCTGTGGGTCTTCTGACCTTCCCCAACCTTTGAAATGAACCGGAGGGCCTCCCTGGTCTTTAATTTGGTTTTTCTCCCTGTGCTTGAGAGGTTGGTGGTTGGTGATGAGAAGACTGGTCCCTTATTCATCCTGCCCTCTCTTGTTCTCCCATCCTGGTCTTCACCCTGCCCCATTTCCAGATGGGTTTTGACGGCTTCTTCTTTGGACGCCTGGATTATCAAGACAAGAGGGTGCGGAAAGAGGCACTGCAAATGGAGCAGGTGTGGCGGGCCAGCGCCAGCCTGAAGCCTCCCACCGCGGACCTCTTCACCAGTAAGGCGGTAGAGTAGAAAGAGGGCTGCCCCCATGCTCAGAAGGGCCCAGGGCTTGGTTTATAGTCTGCTATCATTGTCTTGAAGTTCTTAGTAGTTTATGAACCTGGGCCCACAATTTGCAGTTTGCACTGGGCCCGGCAAATTCTGAAATCCATCCCTGGTGAGGCCTGGCAGGTCTCGGGGCCATGACCACCCCCTGAGCCTAATGTGGTTCACAGGTGTGCTCCCCAACATGTACAACCCGCCGGAAGGTCTGTGCTGGGACATGCTGTGTGCCGACAAGCCCTTTGTGGAGGACATGCGCAGCCCGGAGTACAACGCAAAGGAGCTGGTCGATTACTTTCTGAAGTTGGCCACTGACCAGGTAACCGGGTGTCCAGAACCTATGCCTCTAGTGCACACGCACCGGGCCCTTCCATCGGCCCAGACAATCCCTCGCCTTCGTTGGGGGAAGGTAAAATTCCATTCACCATCACCATACCCTGCTCCTGGATTTGTGTGCATTTCTGATTAGAATGGTGGACCCCTTCACCAGAGCACATCCCCACCATGTTTGCTAGACGGCATGGCACAGGACCTCAATACCCACGTCTGGGTGGTAGACCCAAGAGAATTCCTCAACCACTGTGGCTCTCTTTCTGTGTGTCTCTCCGCTCCCCTGTGACACAGTTCCACCCCTACCCCCATGCCTCTGTGCACTCACATTCTTTTTCTTTTTTAAAAATAATTTTATTCATTTATTTTTGGCTGTACTGGGTCTTCGTTGCTGTGTGGGCATTTTTCTAGTTTTGGTAAGTGGGGCTGCTCTCTGTGATACTTGGGCTTCTCATTACGGTGGCTTCTCTTGTTGTGGAGCATGGGCTCTAAGGCTCTCGGGCTTCAGTAGTTGCAGCTCCCAGGCTCTAGAGCACAGGCTCAGTAGTTGCGGAGCACGGGCTTAGTTGCTCTGAGGCATGTGGGGTCTTCCCAGATCAGGGATCGAACCCATGTCTCCTGCATTGGCAAGCAGAGTCTTTACCACTGAGCCACCAGGGAAGCCCTGTGCACTCACATTCTTGACCACATATATACCAAGACGCAGCTGTCCACAGGGGTGGCCCAGGACACCCTGGCCTGAGGATACCCCCATCTTGCCTGCAGGGTAAGCTCTACCGCAGCAAACACACGGTGATGACCATGGGCTCAGACTTCCAGTATGAGAACGCCAACTCGTGGTTCAAAAATCTTGACAAGCTCATCCAGTTGGTCAATGCCCAGGTGAGTGTGCCTGCCCCATGTATTTGTATCCCAGGGCCTTGGGTCACATACATTATCTATAGGTGCTATGTTAGTTTTCTATAATAAGCTACCACAAACCTAGTGGCTTAAAATAACAGCAATCATATTACCTTACAATTCTGTAGGTCACACGTCTGACTTGGGTCTCACTGGGCTAAAATCAAGATGTCAGCAGAACTGTGTTCTTCTGGAAGCTCTAGGGGAAAGTGTCCTTGCCTCATCCAGCTTCTAGAGGCCATCCACATTCCTTGGTTCATGGCATCCTCCTCTGTCTTCAAAGCCAGCAACATAGCAGCTGTCTGACCCTGCCCCTGTTATCATTATCTCTTTTTTTCACACTCTCACTTCTTTATCCTCCCTCTCCCACTTAAGATAACTTTGTGATTACATTGGGCCCACTGGATAATTCAGGATAATGTTTTAAAGTCAGCTGATTAACAGTCTTAATTCTGCAGTTTTAATTCCCTTTTACCATGTAACCTAACAGTCACAGGTTCTGGGGAGCAAGACATGGACATCTTTGAGTGACCATTATTCTGCCTACCAAGTGGGTATTGTCGTGGCCCCTGTAAATAGCCTGTGGCAGTGTGGGCAGGCAGTCCCTCTCCCATTAGCACAGAACCTCATCTCCACTCTCCCATCACTTCCATCCCCAGTATTGTCTACTGGCACCATCTTTAATGTCCTCACTTTTCACCACCCACTGCACTGCTGTTTCATCAAAACCAGTTCTCAGCTATGTCACCAAAGGCCTTCCAGATGACATTTCCCAGTCCTCCCCAAGCCCCTGGGCCCTGAGGAGCTTTCAACATCTTGACCACTTCCTCCTGCAAATACCTATGTTCCTGGGCTCCCAGGAGTTCATACTGTCATACTTGGTTTTTCTCCTGCTTACTCGCTCACACACTTCCTTTTACTGGAGATGAATTTCCTTTGTTCAAAGCCTGGCTTTGCCACTTACTGACTCTGTGACCTTGAGGAATGTTTTTCAGCACTCAGTGCCTCAATTTTCTTATCTAGGAAATGGGCACAGTGGTGGGTCCCACCTGATAGGGCTATTTTCTTTTTTAAAATTTTTATTGGAGTAGAGTTGATTTACAGTGTTGTGTTAATTTCAGGTGTACAGCAAAGTTAATCAGTTTTACATATACATATACCCACATTTTAAAATTTTTTTGTTTTTGAGGCAAGGAATACAACTTTATTTATTTATTTATTTTTATTTTTTTTTTTTACAACTTTATTCACAAAGCTGTCTGACTGAGAAGATGGCAGACTAATGTCTCAAAGTAACCTTCTTGTCGCAGTCTGGATGCCGGGTTCTTTTATAGAGTCAGAGAGAGAAGCAATAAGGAACTAAAGTGAAAGGCAGAATAGAGAGGGAGTAGCAGTATATCCACTCTGTTTTAGATTCTTTTCCCATATAGGTCATTACAGAGTACTGAATAGAGTTCCCTGTGCCGTACAGTAGGTCCTTATTAGCTATCTATTTTACATATAGTAGTTATGATAAGGCTATTGATGAAAGTTTAATGAGCTTCCATAGACCAGTAGAACAGTGCCAGGTAAATAATAAGTGTTAGGATTGTTTATTTTTATTACTTGGGGCTGAAAAACTTTTGTTTCTTCTTTAAGACACCAGTTGCAAAGTCTTTTTCTCCAGGAAGCCTTCACTAGGCCCTAGCTGGAGAGCTTGCTTTTTCCTCTGGGCTCACAGGAGTGCCCACAAATATCTGTGATGTTACATCTAGACTGACTGTAGTCAACTGACCAGTCTTTCTCCTCTGCACTTGGCTATGAATTCCATGAGAGCAGGGCTGGCCACTGGTTATAGATTGTGTCCACAATCTGGAGCATATTAAGGAATTGTTTGTTGAGTGAACATTGGGTGTAAATGTGTATATGAGTGTTTGTTCAGCGATGTATTGATAGAAATATGTTTGCATATGAAGTCATGAAGTCCTGTGCATTTCCATCATTCACTCAAATGTTTATTTTTTAAGTTGAAGTATAGTTGATTTACAGGGCTTCCCAGGTGGCAGGCTAGTGGTAAAGAAGCCACCTGCCAATGCAGGAGATGTAAGAGACATGGGTTCTGTGCCTGGGTTGGGAAGATCCCTTGGAGGAGGGCATGGCAACCCACTCTAGTATTCTTGCTTGGAGAATCCCATGGACAGAGGAGCCTGGTGGGCTACAGTCCATAGGATCAGAAAGAGTTGGACATGACTGAAGTGACTTAGCAAGCACACAGCTGATTTACAGTATAATATCGTGTTAGCTTCAACTATATAGCAAAATGATTCAGTTATATCTATATATTGTTTCAGATTATTTTCTATTACAGGTTATTCTAAGACACTAAATACAGTAAATCCTTGTTGCTATCTATTGTATGTATAGTTTGTATCTGTTAATCCCATACTCCTAATTTATCCCTTCCCCCCTTTGTTTCCTGTTAGGTAAACATAAATTTGTTTTCTATACCTGTGAGGCTGTTTTCTATCTAGATTCCCTTGTATTATTTTTTAGAGTCCACATATAAGTGATATCATATGGTATCTGTCTTTCTCTGACTTACCTCACTAAGGATAATGTTCTCTAGGTCATTCAAGTGTTTACTGAGCACCTACTGGGTACAAGGCACTGGGGACACAACTTGAGCAGAACAAACATCCTTTAACTCATGGAGGTCACCTTGTTCCTCTACCCCCCTCATTTGAAAGTGAGCCTTCATTCATTGTAACAGTTGTGTCATTTGGCAATAACCTTACAGTGCTGAGAAATTATTATTCCTGCCCTAGAATGTCATATTTCATTTCTCCCTGCAAGTTTTAAGTAATAAAATTGGAATTATTGAAAGTTTAGTAAAATCTCAGGTTTATTCTTGCATCCCTGAATTTCCCTCCAGGCCAGGCTGGTAATATTTAGCTTCGGCCAACATTCATTTTCACTTAACCGTTGGTTTGTACTCAAACTGTGTATTTAAAAAAAGAAACTTTGAACCAACCGGGTGCATGAATGTGTCTGTGTTTGTGTGCATGTGTACACCTGTGGGCCCGCCTGGGAAGGGCTCCCGAGGGTTCACACAGGCACACTTCCCCTCAGCAACAGGCCAACGGGAGCCGCGTCAATGTTCTCTACTCCACTCCTGCCTGTTACCTCTGGGAGCTGAACAAGGCCAACCTCAGCTGGTATTTGGGGGGACTGGGGAGCCTCGGGGGGTTGGCATGCCCTATGGGTGGTGGCCCTGCCCTCAATGTCACTGCCGCTGCAGGTCAGTGAAAAAGGATGACTTCTTCCCCTACGCTGATGGCCCCTACATGTTCTGGACCGGTTACTTTTCCAGCCGGCCTGCCCTCAAACGCTACGAGCGCCTCAGCTACAATTTCCTGCAGGTAGGTGGACGCCAGGCTCCAAGGGGCTGGCTGGCCCAGGGGTCCTGACAGGCCTGGTGCCCCAACATACCACCTGCTCCACAGGTGTGCAACCAGCTGGAGGCGCTGGCGGGTCCGGCAGCCAACGTGGGACCCTATGGCTCCGGGGACAGCGCACCCCTCAGTAGGTGTCCGGCGGGCGAGGAGACAGCGGGGTGGGACTGAAGCTGGACTCCAGACTTCTGCTGACCCTTACTTAAAGCCTTTAAGAACCCAGCCTGCCCGCGCAAGACTTTTCGCGTGTCCTTGGGGTCTGGGCGGAGAGTCCTGCGGAGACCTCACTCGGGCTCACTGTCTGCCTACAGATGAGGCGATGGCGGTGCTCCAGCACCACGATGCAGTCAGTGGTACCTCCCGGCAGCACGTGGCTGACGACTACGCCCGCCAGCTTTCCGAAGGCTGGGGCCCTTGCGAGGTGCGGGGGTGGAGCCTGGGGAAGGCGGAGACAGGAAGGGACTGGGCCTGGAAACGGGGGCCGGACCTAGGGAGGGGCGTGGTCGAAAAGCAACAGAGTGGCCGCCAGAACGGCTCGTGGGGCGGGGCTTGTGGAAGGAGGGTCGGAGAGAGGCAGGGGCGGGGCTGAGGGCGGGATCGCGAGGCGACCGGCAGGGGCGTCCGGAGTGGACCTTTAGCTTTACGCGCCTCCCCAGGTTCTCATGAGCAATGCGCTGGCGCATCTCAGCGGCTCCAAGGAGGACTTCGCCTTTTGTCGCAAGCTCAACATCAGCATTTGTCCGCTCACCCAGACAGCGGAGAGAGTGAGCCACCCTGGAGCGGGAGAGGCGGGGCCGGGGGCAGGTCCCGTGGGTGGTGGGTGGAACCAGAACCGGAGAAACCTCTGGACAGGGTGAAAAGGAGGCGGGGCTGATGGGCTCAGCTGGTTACTGAACACTCTGGGGCAAGATATTTGAGGGCTCAGTGAAGCTGGGACAGGACGGGGACCAATGCACCACGTGGAGGCTTGACTCACCCAGGGACCTTGCTGTACACATGGGTGGGTTTGCAGAAGGCCTGTTGTAACCCGTGTCTGCTCTGACCGTCCCACCCCAGTTCCAGGTGATCGTTTATAACCCCCTGGGGCGGAAAGTGGACAGGATGGTGCGGCTGCCTGTCAGCAAACACGTTTACCTCGTGAGGGACCCCGGTGGCAAAACTGTGCCCAGCGATGTGAGCTCATTTCCACAAATATTCCTCCCTGTATAGCACACTTGATGAATACCTATCCCCTTGGAAACCTCCCGCCATGGGCATTTCTCCTTTATCCCCATGGACATTTCCCTTAAGATTATCTCCCTCCACGGATGTCTTCTCCCATGGACCCCTCCCTTTCTTGGATATCTCCTCCTCCATGAGTATCATCTGCCCATTACTGTCTCTTCTTCTAAATACTTTTCCCCTCTGCCCCTTTAAATCATACCCCCCTTGGAAACATTCCCACCCCTCGCCTATGAATATCTCCCCCTTGTTGATATCTCCCTGTGAAAAAATTTCCTGTTTATGAATATTCTCCTCATCCTGAAGACCTCTTCCTCCTAAACCATTTCCTCCCCCCAGAATCTGTTCCCCCGCCCCCATCTCAAGAGTCTCTTCCCACACTTACTCCCTCACTTCTCACACCTCCTACAGTCGGTCCACCCTCCTAGTAGATTTCCCACCTTCTGAATCTTGGAATCTTTTTCTCTTTTTTTGGCCATGCAGCTGGCAAGATCTTAATTCCCCCACCAGGGATCAAACTCATGTCCCCTGCAGTGGATGTGGAGTCTAACCACTGGACTGCCAGGGAATTCCCTCTTTGCAGTCTTTAACTCAGCATTTCTGACACTCCCAGCCCCCTGCCCAACACCTAAATTTCTTTTCCCCATTTGGCAGGTGGCGACTCCTTGCCCTCCTCAAGTTTGACCCCTTTCTGTTTGTGTGGTGTGGCTTCGTGCGTGTCCTCCCAGCTTCTTGACTTGGTTTCCTTCCTCCCTTACCTGAGGTGGTTCCGATTCCCAGCTCAGACAGTCAGGAGCTGCTTTTCTCAGCCTTAGTGCCTGCCCTGGGCTTCAGCATCTACTCGGTATCCCGGATGCCTAACCAAAGCCCCCAGAAGTCCTGGTCCCGTGTCTTGGTCATCCAGAATGAGGTGAGACCCTGTTCAGACCCCCTTCCATTTCTGGGTGACAGTTCTGAGATGTTTCGGTAAGCCACGTGGACTGTGGGTCAGTGGGTCTGAGGTTTCCGGTCTAGTGTCATCCTCCACTGTATGTTCTCAGTGTCCTCTCTTGGGGCTCTTATGAGGACCCTTGGTGACACTGGATAGAAATGTCAGAGCTGATGGAGGTAGGGGTTTGCAATTCAGTGAGGCATGTCAGAGACATGGAGGAGGTACCGTGTGGCCTTTTGGGGTAAGAGAGATCCAGGCAGGCAGGGAGCACCCTCACGTGGAAGGGTGTGGGTGTCCAGAGAACACTCATTGTGACTGAAGCCAGGTGTTGGGGGTGGGGGGAGGTGACAAGTCAGATCATGTGGGCCAGCAGAGGGGAGGACTCTTTTACTGTGAAGGAATCACAGGAGAAATGGTTGCATTAAGGCTGTTGTGGGTCCTAGCATTAGCCTTTGTGGGTTCTTCCTTCCATAGAAAAATGCTAAAAACTATATTTCATGATAGTATGGATATTAATATGGATAGTAACCATGCAGACTTCGACCTGATGTATTCATTATTACTTCATTCAAGTTTTCTTCTGATCCTAAAAGAAATTGAGATTTATGCATTTCCATGGGCCCTAAAAATCTTGGGTCCTGGCCTTGTTCCTCTTTCAGTTGCACAAGCAGCCTGGGTCCCAAGCAGATGGGCTGTGATCTCACTTCTGCTCTTATAGGTGCCTTTTGGCAGCTGTGGGGGAAAAAGACTGGGGAATGAGCATGGAAGGCAGGAGATGGGGAAGGAAAGGCCATGGAGGTGGGGAGAAGTGGTCAGATTGAGGATAAGTTAGAAAATGGAGCTGTCAGAATTTGCTAACAATGATACAGAATAAGAGGGAGAGAGGAGGGAAGGGTGGGTGGATCTTATTTTCCCCACCAGGGATTGAACACTGTCCCTCCACCGTGCAAGCTGGGAGGCTAAATCACCCATCTGCCAGGGAATTCCCACTTTGCAGTCTTTAATTCAGCATTTCAGACACTCAATCCTTCCTGCCCAACATCAGTGTTTGTTCCTGATCCCTGGGAAGAGCCATTGGCTGAAGTGATGGTCATTAATGTCTGTCCACCCTTTTCTGCCCAGTACCTCCGGGCTAGGTTTGACCCTGACACAGGGCTCTTGATGGAGTTGGAGAACCTGGAGCAGAATCTCGTGCTGCCTGTTCGCCAAGCCTTCTACTGGTGAGGGAGGACCACCCGGTCAGGGAGGGGGTGTGAGCAGAGCTGAGGTCCCTTGTCTGACTCTCGCCTGCCCTGGCCCCAGGTACAATGCCAGTACAGGTAACAACCTAAGCTCCCAGGCCTCCGGTGCCTACATCTTCAGACCCAACCAGAAGAACCCACTGTTCGTGAGCCGCTGGGCTCAGACCCACGTTGTGAAGGTCAGGGGGTCAAGAGTGGGTACTTGGGGACAGGGTGTGTGGGGTGGGGTGCATGTGGAGGGTGGTGTGCCTTGTGAGGGGTGGTGGGGAGGATTTACATCTCCAGTAGATAAGAAGGCTAAGACCAGAGGGGAATACATGAGGATTTTCACACAGGGTTGATAGTCATGGCTGGTTGTATGACAGTTACGCCATGGAGGCCCATAGAAAAGGCATTTCACATCTGTCGTGGGGATCAAGATTGTATTTAGCTTTTGAAATTGGTGGTAGGCTGTTCCCATTTGGCCCATGAATGCAGAGAGTTAGGTGTAACTGCCTGAAAATTTCATCAGGGATCTGTGATAGGAAGGGCTTTTATCTAGGGTGATTTGAGGGTTCACACTTGGATAGGGTTTGGGTGATTCTCACTTAGAATGGATATCTGAGGATGCATCTAGTTGGAATCAGGGGCTCATGCTTGCAGGTTTCCTGAGGCCTCTCACTGATGTTTCCTCTTAGGGAGGGAGTGGGGCAGGTAATGGCAAGTCTCACATGAGTGAATACCTGCATACCTGGGTCACTGTGTTAGGATACAGTTTTGCCTGTTGTAACAGAGTTACTCAAATAACCAGGCCTAAAACAAGATGGAAGTTTCTTTTCATCTATTAGAAAGTCTCAGCAGGTGGGATGATCCAATAGTCATCTAGGTCCCTTCTATCTTATTTTTTATTATTTTGGCTGAGCTGTACATGGCATGTGGGATATTAGTGGGATATTAGTTCCCCAACCAGAGGTTGAACCTGTGCTGCCCCCTGCAGTAGAAATGCAGAGTCTTAACCTGTGAACTGCCAGCAAAGTCCTCCTTTCTAACTTATTGCTCTGCCTTCTGTACATTCACCTTCCACTTCATGGCCCAAGATGGCTGCTCAAGCTCCAGCCATCACATTTACCTTTGAGCCAGTGGAAGAGAGGAAGGGGCAAGGAACTTTGTTCATAACACTTTGATCACTTTCCAGTAGGCAAACATGGTCACACAGCTACAGCAAGACTCAGGGAAGACTGAAAAATACAGTCTATTCCAGGAAGCCATGTGCAAAGCTAGAATCCTATTCTAAGGAGGGGAGATAGGGTAATGGTGGGGCTTCCCAGGTGGCACTAGTGGTAAAGAACCCACCTGCCAATGCAGGAAATATAAGACATGTGGGTTCGATCCCTGGGTTGAGAAGATCCCCTGGAGGAGGGCATGGCTACCCACTCCAGTATTCTTGCCTAGAGAATCCCATGGACAGGCACCTAGTGGGCTATAGTTCAAAGGGTTGCAAAGAGTTTATACACAACTGAAATGACTTAGCACACGTGCACGGGCAGCAAGAATGTATGCCAAACTCAAAAAAACTTACATGGCAATGACTGAGGAGTAAAGTGTGGGCATCATACCTAGGCAGGTAAGGAAGGTGGGTCGGCTCCAAAGCTATTAGTGGGGTTGACCCTGACGTAGGCCTTTGTGATCTGCACAGCTGGGGTGGACATTTGCAGGGCTCACCTCTGCTCAGGTGCACGCTTACACCTGCCCCNCCCACCTCTTCCTGACACCCCTTTACAGAGTGGAGTTCACCTGTTCTTGACATCTCCCAACTGTCCTCAGCAGTCTCCACTGTCCCTGTGGGGCCTGCCTGGGAGCTGGGGCTGGCCAGCAGTGCAGCCCCTCACTCACCCTTTACCCCCCAGGATGGGAACATGCAGCTGACTGTGCTGACTGACCGATCCCAGGGGGGCAGTAGCCTGAGAGATGGTTCCTTGGAACTCATGGTTAGTGGCCTGAGCCCCCATCTAAGTCAGGGTCCTTCCACCAGTTCCCTTTCTGCCCTCTACAGGACCTCGAAGCCAGTTTCTTTTGCTAGGTGCACCGCTCTGTTTATGGTCGCGGCTAAGCTGAGCCCTCCATTCCTCTGAGACAATCACTCCGTGCTTTTATCCAATCCCTACCCAAGCCTCCCCTCCAGGCCCTGATTTACCCTATGCACGCCCCCATTAGGTCCTTACCACCCTCTGCCCTAGCCCGTTGTTAGGTCGGATCCCCACTTTTACTGGGGATCTCCTACGTCCCCTTCGTCCTCATCCGTTCCCCCAATATTCTTTTTTTTTTTTTTGCCTCGAAATCCCCACATACTTTCACCCAAATTCCGGCCCAGAAATTGGCTACAGGAACCCTCACTTTCTCCTGGCCACTCTCCCCGCAGGTGCACCGAAGGCTGCTGAGAGACGATGCACGCGGAGTTGGGGAGCCGCTGACCAAGGAGGGGTCGGGGCTCTGGGTGCGAGGACGTCACCTCGTGCTGTTGGATAAAACGGGGATTGCGGCCGCCAGGCACCGGTTACAGGCGGAGATGGAGGTCCTGGCCCCGCAGGTGGTGCTGGCGCGAGGTGGCGGCGCGCGGTATCGCCTCGAGGTAGCCCCACGCACGCAGGTGAGGAGCCTCGGGGCCGGCAGAATGTGGACCCTAAGGAAGCCTGCGGAGGGAGGGGCGGGGTTGAGGGCGGGTTTTCCTAGGTTTAACTGAGACCCACCTCGCCTGTTCCTACTCGTCCTGGGGAGGACGTAAGCGAACGTTCGCTTAGCTGAGCGTGGTCACCCCAGCAGTCTCGGCCCAACCCTAACATTGGCCCGCTGGGGCCCGGAGACGGTGCTGCTGCGCTTAGAGCACCAGTTCGCCGTAGGGGAGGACTCGGGCCGCAACATGAGCTCCCCGGTGACCCTGGACTTGACGGTGAGGACAGAGGTGGAAGGAGACTGAGGAGATGAGGGAGGGGAAACCCCGCTTTGTCCCAACTCATCCGGGCCCTTCACTGCCCGCAGAACTTGTTCTCCGCCTTCACCATCACCCACCTGCGGGAGACCACGCTGGCAGCCAACCAGCTTCTGGCCTACGCCTCCAGGCTCCAGTGGACAACGGACACGGGTAGGAGCCTGCCCGGAGCGGGGGGCAGTGTGGGAGGTGCGGGAATGTTGACCAGGTCCAGTTAAAGAGCTTAGAGGGTCTTAGTCGGTGTTCAGATTTAGGTTACGGGTTTAAGGGAGTGATGTGGCTTGACGGTCCTTGGGGGTGGGACTTGTGAGTGTGAGGACAATGCCCAGACCCTGGGGAGAGATTTGAGCATCTGGGGGTGGTATCTAGGCTCTGTTAAACAGTTGAAGGGTCTGGGAGTGAGGGCCTGGGGAAAGATTTACGGCGGTATGTCTGTGTTCAGCGGGGGGCGCACAGAGGATGTTCAGGCGGAGGAAGTCTGCATTCCTCACTTCTCCCCTCCACCTCCCCAGGCCCCACACCCCATCCTTCTCCTTCCCGTCTGGTCTCCGCCACCATCACACTGCATCCCATGGAAATTCGTACCTTCTTGGCTTCAGTCCGATGGGAGGAGGACGGCTAGACCCACTGGATACAAGATTCCCGGCTTCCAGCCTGAGTTCTCTCTCCTCCGGGGGCGGGGCCCACTCTCCCCCTCCTCTTGTTGCTGTTGCTACCACCAATGAAAGCCTTTAAAATGTCACTACCAAGGCTCAAGTCAAGGTGTGGCTGAGTGTGGGTTTCCTTTTTGAGGGCAATGGAATTTATGACCCAGAAAGGTCAACAAGGGCTTCCCAGGTGGCACAGTGGTAAGAATCTGTCTGCCAGTGCAGGAGACACAGGTTCGATCCTGGGTCAGGAAGATCCCTGGAGTGGGAAATGGCAACCTGCTCTAGTAGTCTTGTCTGGAAAATTCCATGGACAGAGGATCCCGGCTGGGTACAGTCCATGGGGTCGCAAAGAGTTGGACATGACTGAGTGACTGAACACAAAAACACAAGGTCAGCAAGTCCCAGATGACCCTTGACCTGAGTCCTTTCAGGAAGGCCACTTGCTGGCCTGAGTCCTCAGACCACAGTCTACACAGTTCACATCCCACCCCACCCACCGCTGCATCCTCCACTCCTGCTTCACTCTTCCGTCCCCTCGGGCTGTGACACAGCTGTGTTTGTGTTTTTATTTTTCATTTTTGCCACCCCTTGTGCCTTGTGGGATCTTAGTTCCCAGATCAGGGATTGAACCCCAGGGCCATGGCAGTGAAAGCACTGAATCCTAACCACTGGACTGCCAAGGAAATCCCTGGCACAGCTGTTTCGAGAGGCCCGTGAGGACAGGCTTGTATTGGCTTGTCCTGGGCCCAGAAAGCCAGACATACCCTGCAGGCCTCCCAGATTCTACCTTGGGGCCCTGAAGGTGGGTGATCTCGGAGGTCCTGGGGGAGGGTGTGTGAAGGAAGAATCAGAGGCGGGTTCCAAAGCTAGGCTTTGGACAGGTGGGCTGGAGACGTGGGCCTCCCAGGAGACAGAGAGCCTGGCATGCCCTGGTTCTGGTGTTCTGGAATATTCTGGAGTCTGTTTCAGAGGAAGGAGACCTGAGGCTTAGAATTGAGAGGATGTCAGTACAGTTTTGTGTGGGTCCCCTGAAGGCCTCTGGAGGCTGAGAGTGCATTGTCACGCCTACTTGCAGTGCACATAGAGACCAGTATTTGGATGCTTAGGCCCCTGATTTTCAGATGTGCCTCCAGAAGGTATGTCTACAGCCTCCTTGGGTAGGTAACAGGCATGGACCTGGGCCAGCTTGGAGCCCCTGGGCAGATCATAGATGGGATCTGGCTGCCAGATGCACCTCTTAAAAAGTTTTCTAAGTCTCCCTGTAGAGAGATAAACCAGAGAGGCCCCAGGAGGGCATCCAAGTCTAATTGCCATCCTGCATGTGGTCCAATCACTGGATGTAACTTCTCCAGACTTCTTTTTTTAAATTTGGCTGCGCCAGGTCTTAGTTGCAACTGGCAGGATCTTTCTTATTATTATTAAATATTTTAAAAATTATTTGTTTTTAGCTCTGCTGGGTCTTCATTGCTTCGTGCAGGCTTCCTCTAGTTGAGGCAAGTGAGGACTACTCTTCGTTTCAGTGCAGGGGCTTCTTTCTCTGGTGGCTTCTCAGGTTGGGGAGTATGGGCTCTAGGACGTGTGGGCTTCAGTAGTTGCAGCACATGGGCTCAGTAGTTGTGGCACACGTGTTTAGTGCCCCGTGGCATGTGATATCTTCCTGAACTAGAGATCAAACCTGTTTTCTCTGTACTGGCAGGTGGATTCTTATCCACTATGCCACCAGGGAAGTCCGTGTAGGAGCTTTAGTTGTGGCATGTGAACTCCCAGTTGTACCACAATGTGGGATCCAGTTCCCTGACCAAGGATCAAAACTGGGCCCCCTGTGTTGGGAGCACGGAGAGCTAGCCATTGGATCACCAGGGAAGTTCATGTTTCCCAGACTTGTGAATTCCCCTGGATTGAATCCAGAGCCATGGCAGTGAAAGTGCCAAGTCCTAATCACTGGACCACCAGGGAATATCCATCCCTAGAATTTTTAAAGTTTCCTTCTAGGAGGGGAAGAGCTGGCCAGCATAGTCAGGGGCCTGTCTGCTGTCCTGTATCAGGCCCTATCCTAAGAAGCGCCCACCAAAACTGCTGGTAAGTATTCCTCTGGAGGCAGGGATCCATCTGGGCCAGGCTGTTTGCCCCAGGGATAGCATTTCATGTCTGGTTATCCATATGCCTTCTAAAAATGTATCCAAATCCAGGGCGACCTGGATCCAGGGAGACCCATGGAGGTCGCCCTGGGTCTTTCCTCAGTCCTGCCTGGAGCCCAGTCACTGATGCATTCGTGTAAACCTCTCCAAGGTGTCCCTGGTGGTGGGGACAGGCACAGGCTAGCCAGAGAGGTTCAGGATAGGCATATGGGCCAGGCTGTGGTTCTGCATGGGTCCTGGTATTGGACCCATGGCACCTAGTGGTGCCTCCTGAAAACATACCCATGTCCCTATTCAAAGAGGCAACAACCTGGGCTTCCTTGGTGGGTCAATGATAAAGAATCTGGCTGCCAATGCAGGAGACGTGATCCCTGGTTTAGGAAGATCCCACATGCCGAGGGGCAGCCACAACTACTGAGCCCGTGTGCTGCAACTCCTGAAGCCCGAGTGCCTGTGCTCCTCAGCAAGAGAAGCCACTGCAATGAGAAGCCTGTGCACTGCAACTAGAGAGTAGCCCCCGCCTGCCGCGACTAGAGAAAAGCCTGCAAGGCAGTGAAGACCCAGCATAGCCAAAGAAAAGAATAAAAATTAAGAAAAAAAAAATAAGTAGAGGCAATGGGCGGGGCTGAACATTCCAGCCCATAGTCATGGGCTCAGGTGCCATCACTCTGTCATTGAGACCACTTCCTGAAAAGTTTATGTGACCTTTCATGGGGGCGAGGTCTGGTCTGGGCCAGACAGGGAGGCCCAAGGGCACAGCAACCCAGTTGCAGTCCAGTGTAGGTCCCTGTGGGCAGAAGCCTATCCCTGCAACATTTCTAAGTCCTGATCTAGTGTGAACAGGCTCCAGGCTCGTCAGAGAGTTCTGGGTGGCATGCCAGTGGTTGTGTGTGGGACCCGATCTTAAGAGGTGCCCAGCCAAAACATGTCTAGTCCTCTCTGGTGGTGTAGACCGGACTGGATGACCACTGTGTTCTGTGGAGTGGGACCATTGTGCTGTGGTCACTGCATCCTTCCATCTTGAGCAAGGGCACAGGCCCTGAGAGGCTGGGTGAGGGCACACCAGCCGGTGGAGGTTCTGTGTGGGTGCCAACCTTCAAGATTGCCTTTTGAAAAGATCTCTAAGTCTTCCTCACTAGACTGGGGCCAGCCCAGGCTGTTTAAAAATGCCCATGGCCTGTCTGGGGCCTGGACCATCAGGGAGGGTGCCCAGGCCCACCTAAGGACCCACTTAAGGCCTGGTCACCGGAGTGTGTGCATGCTCAGTCATGTCTGACTCTGGCGACCCCGTGGACTGTAGCCCACCAGGCTCCTCTGTCTGCGGGACTTCCCAGGCAAGATCACTGGAGTGGGTTGCCATTTCCTTCTCCAGGAGATCTTGCTGACCCGGGGATTGAACCCGGATCTCCCACATTGTAGGCAGACGCTTTACTGTCTGAGACACCAGGGGAGTCCTGAATGAGGGCCACTGGCTTTGGCTTCGAGGGCTCCCACTTCACTTGCAGATATCTGTGTGGCCCACTTGCTGGAGGCACTCTCCACAGCCCCCCTCCGTTTTTCTAAATCTCCCTCTGGAGGAGACAGCTGATCCTAGCCATCCAGGGAGGCCCCAGGAGACATGTTCATCACATGTTTCCAGAAAGTGTTTCCCACTCCTCCTCTGGAGAGAGGCAGGGACCAGGAGGGCTAGGGACCACCTTGGTGGGTGTCCAGGGTTTGGGGGAAGTCCTGTGTGGGGTTGGGTCACCAGGGATGCCCCCGTATATATTTTTAAGCCCTCTTGAGGGGGGAGACAGAACTGAGGTGGTCTGGGAGACCCTGGAGAAAGCTGAGTCACAGCCCTATGTAGGCCTGGGTCGTGGGTTGTTATTTAGTTGCTAAGTCATGTCCGACTCTTTGTGACCCCATGGACTGCAGCACGCCAGGCTCCCCTGTCCTTCACTCTCTCGCCAATAGTTTGCTCAGATTCATGTCCATTGAGTCAGTGATGCTATCTACCATTTCTCTGTTTGCCTTTGGACTTTCCCAGCATCAGGGTCTTTTCCAGTGAATTGGTTCTTTGCGTCAGGTGGCCAAAGTACTGGAGCTTTGGCGTTCAGATTTTTCATATCCGTATGTGACTACTGGAAAAACCATAGCTTTGACTACATGGACCTTTCTTGGCAAAGTGATGTCTCTGCTTTCTAACACGCTGTCTTGGTTTGTCATAGCTTTCCTTCCAAGGGGCAAGTGTCTTTGAATTTCATGGCTGCAGTCACCGTCCGCAGTGGTTTTGGAGCCCAGGGGAATAAAATCTGTCACTGCTTTCACTTTTTTCCTTTCTATTTGCCCATGAAGCGACAGACCACGTGCCATAGTTTTTCTAGTATGGGAATGCCTCCTCAGAAATGACTAAACCCCACTTTGGTGGCAGAGATCAGGCTCGGCCATCCAGGGAGCTCCATGGATGGTGTCCCAGTCCCACCAGGTCACCCTCGGGCTGCTGAGCTGAGGTCACAGGTTCCAGTGAGACCCAGGAGAGTGCTATTTGGGGGTGCAGGTCTGTCCAGGTTGCGCTGGCTGTCGGGCGCCGCCTGGTGGCCACTTTTATATCGTCCCGGGAGCTTGGCTGAAGTGGGATGACAGCTTAGCCCAAAGGGCGAGTTCCATGAGGCCGCCCGCGCAGTTATAGGAACCCTCTCTGACTCCGAACACGGGCTCCTCTGAATCTGTCACTGCAGCATAAAGGAGAGGGGCACCTGGGAACTGCATGGGCAGGGTGACTGGCGCACGGTTGTCCCCGTCACCGGCGAGGACCGACTTGAGGCGTTTCAGGTGACCAGGATTTGGGCGCCCTGGGCTTGGCCACATTCCCACCTGGGAATGGGAGCGCCTGCTGAGAATTTTCTAGGTCCTCCTCTTGGTGCCAGGATCGCGCAGGGCACTGTTGCTGGATGTGCGTCCAGAAAGTTTTCCTTCTTGAAGAGGGAACTG